TCTTGTTCTTCTTGATAAGCAGTACAATAGCTACTGGAGTCAACTAGTCTACATAAAGGCCATCATTATCAGAAAATCTTGCTCTATTAGCATTTTAAAAGAAGAATTATCAGTTTGGGCGCTAGACCACATGTGCTTATGTAAACTATGACATAATAAAACGTCATTGCGGTTAGCTTTGGTATGCCATTGGGTTTATAGGGAGAACCCGGTTCTCAGGGTTCCCAAGGGTTGAGAGACCCAAGACCTGAGATCCTGAAGCGGCATTGGGCGACTAAGAACCTGTGAAAGTCTCATCCTTATCCCACATTCCTATAAAAAGTTATTCCAGTTTTTCTTGGTCCAAACTCAGTTGGGACATAGTATATATACTATTAGCTTTTTAAATAATTGCATTTTTTGTGAATTTTGTCATTAAAATATTAAGAATTTTTGTAATACATGTACTATCATATGTCCATAAATAAAATAATAAAGATATATAAAATATTCCACTTCTACGGTATTTATTTATTTCTTTTCCATAGATACGTAACACAGACTCACGGTAAAACACACAATACCTTCAAATTGGAAGTGGAACAAATTTTTGAAGTGAAGAGAGACAAAGAAGAAGAGAATTTCAAAGACGTGGGCAATCGTCAGTTGCTGTGGCACGGATCAAGACTCACTAACTGGGTCGGTATTCTCAGCCAAGGACTTCGTATAGCTCCGCCCGAAGCGCCAGTCACTGGATACATGGTAGGATGGAGTGGGTGTGGTTAAGTTACATGTACATATACACAAGTTCGGAATTTAAAATTTGAATTTTACATTTATACGCTTTAAGAGTTATTTTGTAGTAAAAGAGTTTTAATTTTACAATAATTTAAATTTAATTTTTGTATTCACAAAAAATTGACAAAATCCAGCATCACATAAAATACTGTACAGCAGGAAATTTTGGAGGCAATTAAATTTGGCAAATTGGCATTTTGATAGCAATTCACCAAAATAAAAATCCGCCATTTTTGTATACGCATGCTCAATGGCACGTTGCCACAATTCGCCAAATTAAAATCTGCCAATAGCCAAAATTTAGCAATTTACCAAATTTTACTCCCTCCAAAATTTCCCACTATACGGTAGCTAAATTATTGAATTTTATGGACATGTATTGTGTTGCATTGCCTTTTTACTGTAGTTTGGTAAAGGAGTGTATTTTGCTGACATGTGTTCAAAAAGTGCCAATTATTGTTTTGCTACTCGTTCAAGGAATGAAGGACTCCTCCTACTAAGTGAAGTGAGTCTTTACTTTATATTGACCAGCAGCCATCTTGTTGCTAGGTGTCACTAGGGACACCTAACGAGTTACTCTCAGCTGATTACAATGCTGATAAGCTACCAGCAGGAAGACAGAGTGTACATGGTAAAGGTAGGATGGTACCTAATCCTGCCTACAACCACACACTGTAAGTGGTTTATACATTATCTCACTTTAAGTACATCTGTACATTATGCTCACGGACACACACATCACATTTACATGTACATACAGTATAGTTTAATAAGCAAAAATATATATTAGATCTTTTGACTGCCCATACCAGTCTGTATTTACATGTAACTGTATGGCTTGTTACCCATAAAATTTGACATTTTGTTATTACGCAAAAGTCGCAAATACATGAATATTGTGCTGAATATTCTACGCACAAAATGGTAGAGCTTTGATAGGGCTGTACAGGGTATTCCTTTTTTGTCTTTATTTTCACCTCTTTGTTCAGTTATTTACTCTCTCCATCTTTCCCTCTCCCCCTCTCTCTCCTCACAGTCCTGATGGTTGTGTGGTACCATTAGGTACACCCATTGATACTGGGCTAACTAACACTGGGGGATATACACTCAACTACAATGAATTCATCGTCTACGATACCAATCAAGTAATTATTATTGTTATTATTATTATCATTATTATTATTGTTGTTGTTTTTTAGGTTAAAATGAGGTATCTAGTTTTGCTGAAGTTTAAATTTAAATAAAGAATCTTTTTAATGGATTAAAAATACATTCACTATATTCCTTACATGCATGTTGTTGTGTTGCTATGAATAATGAACTATGTACTAATTTGCCATAGAGTGATATTCATTTACATTTATTACTTTATAAAGAAATATTTAATTGACCATGTTAAGTCATCCGTTATTATAAATATAATTAAACTTAGCATTATTTCAAGGAATATCAATTGAATATCAGCGTTAGAGAAGAAGAGAACCTTGAAGGCCCTTTTATTGAGAATAACCCCAGCAGAAATGCAACAAAGACAAAGTGCTTGTAAGCTATATAATTCAACTGATGTGTGAATGTGACTATAATCTTTAAACCTTCACTGCAGGTCATGATGATGTCCTATCATCATCATTCAGAAGAGTGAAAAGTGCTTATAAAAATCACAGCTCACTTTCAAAATCTTCACCAGTCCCACTACCAATATCTCTCAATGGGGCTAGTCTTACAAAAGCTGAGTTATCTCGACATCCTTCTTTGCCAGTCGCCAGAAATCGATCTTCTCCTTCCTCTGTATCTTTTACTTCTGGAGAAAGTACAGGTAGTACATGTACTACATTAGCATCAGATGCTAGTACATCAGGCTCCACAGTCAATAGGAGATCATCAAGAAGACTATCAGGAAGTGAAGTATTACCCGCAATAAAACAAGAACAGGATTGCGTTACTAGTAGTGGGCCAGGTGGTTCCTTACCTACAATACAGCATCATTTAAGCTCATATTCATCACGTATTGCATCTAAGAGCTTTTGGAGCACTGATATGCTAATGGATAGAGAGAGGGAGATGAGTGAGATACATTCCACTAATAGCCTACCCTCAATCAATAATGATTTTTGCACTGGAGCTACTACTAGTAAGCCAACCAGTACTAGTCGAATGATTGAGCTGAAGCATTCGAAGAGTGATATACATCTTGAGACAAGAGATTTGTCACATATTATGTTGAAAGGAACAACGAAGTCAAGAAAACAAAACCAGACAATGTCTACAGCAGCTGTGTCAGTTAAAAGTAAAAGAAGGATCTCACTCCAACACCTGCCTCCAATGTACTAAGATTCATGCACACAAATATACATTATTTTTTAATGTCTTTGCAATTGTCATTTGATTTCACATTATTATACACATTATACATGTATGAAAGGTTAAATCTGTAGTTAATATACTACACAATGCACAATGATTACTGCAACAATTAAAGGCTGGTTTACAATATCACACTAGTCTTGACGTTATGTTGATGCTGGAATAGGATTTAGTTCAGCTCTAGTGTAAAGCATGCGTCAAAGGTCAAATCATCCACATATTTAACTATTTACTTTTTCCCTCCCTCTCTCTCTCTCTCCTCACAGTCCTGATGGTTGTGTGGTACCATTGGGTACACCCATTGATACTGGGTTAACTAACACTGGGGGATATACACTCAACTATAATAAAGTAATTATTATTATTTCTTATTATTAGATTATTATTATCATTATTGTTGTTGTTGTTCTTGTTTTTCAGGTTAAAATGAGGTATTTTGTTCTGCTGAAGTTTAAACTTAAAAAAGAAACTTTATTGAATGAAAATACATTTAAATAATTACATTACATTATTCCATTACTGCATGTTGCTGTGTTGCCTATTCTATTGTCTTTATCATGAATAATGAAACATGTACTAATTTGTCAGAAAGTGATATTCATTACATTCTTAACTTTATAAGTCACTGACCATCCTAAGTTGTCATAAATACAATTGAGCTATGAACTTAGTATTATTTCAGAACTTTATCAATTGAACAATTGAATATCAACAGCAGATCTAGAGGAGAAAAGCTTGAGGAGTTTTTGTCAGTCTTGAGAGACTATTATACTCTCTTTTTGAGAATAACTCCATATTGAGAATAACTGCAACAAAAATGCAACAAAGTAAGCTATAATAATTCAGCTCATATATATGATTTTAATTATCTTTGTTCAATCTTTGCACTGTAGGTCAAAAAGCTAGTACAAATGATGTGCTAGTGCAATCAACATTCAGGAAAGTTAAAAGTGTACATAAAAATCACAGCTCTCATTCTAAATCTTCACCAGTCCCACTATCAATATCTCTCAATGGGGGGGCTACTCTTACAAGAGCTCGTTTAACTCGACATCCTTCTCTGCCAGTCAGCAGAAATCAATCTTCTCCTTCCACTGTATCTTTTACTATTGGAGAAGGTACAGGTAGTGCTACACTAGCATCAGATGCTAGTACATCAGGTTCAACACTCAATAGGAGATCATCAAGGAGACTATCAGGAAGTGCATCATTACCAATGAAACAAGAATGGGATTGCATTAATAGTAGTAGGCCACGTGGTTCCTTACCTACAATACAGCATCATTTAAGTTCATATTCATCACGTATTGCATCTAAGAGCTTTTGGAGCATTGAAATGCTACTGGATAGAGAGAGGGAGATGAGTGAGACACATTCCACCAAAAGCCTACCCTCAATCAGTAATGAACCTTGCACTGGAGCTACTACTAATAAAGGAATCATGCCAACCACTGGTCAAATAATGGAGCTGAAGCATTCGAAGAGTGACATGCATCTTGAGACAAGAGATTTGTCACCTGTTACGTTGAAAGGAGCAATAAAGTCAAAACAAAACCAGACATCGTCTACTGCAGCAGTGTTACTTAAAAGTAAAAGAAGAATCTCACTCCAACACCTGCCTCCAATGTACTAGGAAATGAACTGATAAACTTAATTCATGCCGCACACACGTACATTTTTAAAATTTTTATTGCAATTGTCATTTGATTTGACATGATACATATACATGTTATATATGTTGTATAAAGGAGAGATAGGGAGGGAATACAATAGTATCTACGTCATCAGTAAAAGTATACAACCATTAAATCTGTAGTTAATATACTACACAGTGTATGACCATACTGCGGTTACTGTAACAATTAAAGGTGGATTTACAATATTACGCCAGTCTTGATGCTATGTTGATGCTGGAATACGATTTGGTCAATTCTAGTGTAAAGCATGTGTCAAAAAGGTCAAATCGCCCACACAATTAATTAAAAATTAATGCTAGCATCTTCAATACACATTAACCTTAACATGTGCCTACTGTAGACCGGAACTTTATTTTGAAACAAACAAGTGAATGTTATTGACCTGATGATACTCACAATGGTAAAGGTTCATGCATGATCACATATTAATCAGTAATTGATACATACCAGTGATACCACCTACTGGCTTTGAAATACAAGGTGACCTTTGAAAACACTCCCTCACTAAATATTGAATTACCATTAAGGCAAGTTGAGATACTGTATTTGGTTAGAGGATATGATATAATGTAGGTGTGACTGCATTTTGATATTATTCATCAATAGAATGACCATAAATATCATTAAAGTCATCACTCCAATCCCCAATGACCATCATAGGACCTACAGTGAATATCATTGCACTCTACATATCAGCAGAATACTATTTGAATATAGCCAGTATTGACCTCTAGAAAGAGAGAGATATAAAGGAACAGCAACAGCAGTAGCTAAGGAAAGAAACAACTAGTTATAATGTTAGCTGTATCAAGAGCTTCTATGAGTACATCAAATCCACTGGTTGTTGTGACTGATCAAATGCAAAGCAGATCAGCAAGTAAGAAACTACTTATAAGCTATAGTCATTATATCATATGCTTCACCTCTGACCTATTGTGTACTCTATAGGTCAAATTGAAGTTAGTGCCAATAAATTCTTGGACTCTAGGGCATACGAGCCCAAGTCACCAAACAAGAAAGGTAGAAACAATATCAGGAGTTTTCCAAAGTCACCACAAATCCCAAATGGAGCAGTCTTCCTCAGTCCTTCTCCTTACAACTCTCCCCCAATCTCCCCAACAGTTTCTAACAATCCATCCCCTAGACAGACCCCATCTTCAAGGCAATCTCCATCAGCTGCAAAGCCTAATACTAAAGTCCCTGTTCCTCCATCACTGATAGTCACACAAAAGCATGACGCAACTCCTCCACTACCAGCAAAAAGCGATCCCTCCAGTCCAAAAAATCTTGTACCACCAGCACATCGTCAGCACAGGCGACGTGCTTCTGATGGAGAAGCATTGTTTGCTAAACAAAAACAGTTTCAATCTCCTAGTGATTTTGATGAGCCTCGTAAGTCAATGCCTGTCGTAGTACCCATCAGCCAATTGGGTTCTTTGTCGTCGCGTATCGCCTCTAAGAGTTTCTGGAATTTTGGTATGCTAGTGGAGAGAGAGAAGGAGTCAGAGACTTCTGATACAAAACTGCCTTCCATTGATAATCGATCCAATACAGTCCCTAATAGTCCAGAAACGTCACCACCAGTCATTAAAAAGAAAGGACTCAAGCACTCTACAAGTGATATATTCCTAGAGGCAGAAGGAATGAAAGGACTCTATGAGAAGCAGTGGTCGAAGCCGGAGCTACCCGTTAACATACCACCTGCTAAAACAAAGAGACGTGTCTCACTGCATCACCTACCGCCAATGAGGAAATCCGTTTCACAAGAACAATTGAGAAAAACAAATGGATCTCTACCTATTTCTCCTCCTGCTCTATTCACTGTAGATCCACATGAAGAAGAAAACGATGAACACTTATTCTAAAATACATCAATTTCTATATATAGGTCAATTTATCTTTTTTATCCCTTCTATTGTGCACTTTCTGTCGATAAGAATACAATGCATTCTTCCCTGTTGATCAGGGGTGATGCAAGAACATCCCAATTACATGCAAAATCATATTACTATTAAATTATGGCTGTTACGTAACTACACAATATTATTAATTTTTTGCATAAACATTTAATAAAGTCAAGTCAAGCTTAGCTCTTTAGACAGTCAGTGCATGATGTGAATGAATCAAGTAATGTAGATATAATTCATACTCAGAATGAGTGAGGTAAATACTATTCATAAGTCATCTGAGATTTTTTGTGCGTCATGCTATAATCACACAAAAGTCATGCAATATAATTGCTTTATTTCTCTAAGTTATACAAAGCACAAAACTGATGTACTATAAGAGTTTTAAAACTCTTCTTTGCTTAAAAATTTTTGCAAAACCATGTATATAAGGATTCATGTCACACACTTATATAAAAAAGTAAAAAATTGCAAAACACTAAAATTCATAAGATGCTGGAATTCATAAATTAGGATTATTCATAAACTCTAGGGAGGCATATAACCTCACACACAGTCACACACACCCACACAAACTGTCAGTCACAACTTGAAAGATACAGCATATCATGCCTACTGGAGATAACACTGGTACAATGGCACAATCTCTTACAGAAGAGGGTAAGTATATACAATACTTATACTTGCATGTTTAAAGACTACTGCTGTTACTGCAGATCCCATATTTAAACCAGGAGGAGGAGGAGGAAGAGGAGAGAGTCATAGGAACAGATCAAACAGTCTGCCAAAAATAAGCAGACCGCATTCCTCTATTGCACGGCCCAGAACTGCTAGCAATAAAACTGGAAAAGGAGCAAGCAATGGATCAAATGAGGGAGGAGGAGGAGGACAGAGAGTAAAAGAAGATGGTGGGATGCTTCCTTTAATACAAGATCGTGGAGATAGAAAGGGAAGAGAAGAGAGAAGCCATACTGCAGATCTAAGATCAGCATCATCAAGAGCAGCTTCTAAATCATTCTGGAACATGAGCATGTTGCATGAGAGGGAAAAAGGCACTGATATTCAGAGTGACAGGACCCCTCCAACGTCACCTGATAAAACAAGGAGATACCAGAATCGTGCACAATCTCTACCAATGGAAGTTCCCCTGAAACCACATTCACTGGAATCACGTCCCGTTATACTGGGTACTTGTACTTGCATATCACCATCAAAAGGTGAAGAACCAAGAATACGAGTTCATAGTATGGAGACTAGGCCACGCCCTAAATTGAATGGTCTGTATGGTTTGCCTAAAGGACACAGACGTCGTGCAGCTACTTTGAATGCAATAAGGAAAACCAGCTCTTTTGAGAAATAATTTATAATAAAAAGCTACAAAAATACCAACACCCTGAAACTATTCATTAATTCCCCTCATATTATAATATTATTATTATTATTATTATTATTATTATTATTGTTTGTAATTCAAATTCTATTTTTGTATTACAAAAGGCACACCCAAATTTAATTTAAAATAAAGTTCAATTTTAAAATCTTTTAAAAAATGAAATTCAGTCAGTGAAGTTTAATACATGACACACACAATATCTTAACGCAACTTATTTTTAAGTAGACAAATATTTGCAATTCGATATTTAGCGAGTACTGACTATTGCAATTTTGCTCTTTTTTAAATTGATAACAATAAAGGTATGTACTAATTTTTCCAATTTTAAAGAAAAATTAGTACTTGCAAATAATAGTGGCTGTAAGGTAGAACCAATTTGCAATCAAATGCATTATATCTGAAAGTGCCTGTAAAACACAAACGTAAGATATTGCAGTGTATAGTGGTTTGTATAAAATATACAGGAAAGTAATAGCATTAAAGGTTATGATGAATATACATGCATACATGTACATAACACAAAATTATATAAAAATAGACACACTAACACTGTACAGAAATTATGTAATGTCATGAAATAGGAGGAGGAGGAGTTACGAATGATGGAGTGTATAGTTTAATTGTTTTATCCCAAGAGCAATCAGCAATCTGTAATGAGAGGAGGGAGAGAGAGAGAGAGGGAGGGAGGGAGAGGAGTAAAACATGTCATAGTAAATAATAAAAATATTTAATTAAAAATTAAGTGATGCAATTTTTTTGTCAACGTAAAATGTTTGTTGAGGACTACAGCAACATAAGCATAATCATAAATGAATTCTCAGCAATTTTGAATAATGAATATAGTCATACATTACATCAGAATGAGACACACCCAAAAACACCCACACAAAAACTGACACACCCATCAATTATTGGGTACAGTGTTTGGTAGTCAAGGAAACAATTATTAGGCACATGAATTATGGTATTTTATTGCAACTTTCTACATAAAATACAAACAATTATATGTAATAAAGAAATCCTTTGGAGTCTTTGGAAAAATTTTTATGCAACTTTAAAAATTCATAAAAAATCCAAATTTGATCGAAATCAGCTCAAACTTGCTACGCAGCATAAAAACATGTATATGTATCAGGAAAAATCATAAAAATGAAGAATTTTTTTTTGTCATTTTTGACAAAATTTGGCCAATGACCCTGTACTATATATAGTACAGGGACTTTAACCCAGTTTTGGAGCAAATTTAAAAATTCATAAAATATCCAATTTTGATCAGAATCAGCTCAAACTTGCTACACAGCATAAAAACATGTATATGTATCAGGAAAAATTATAAAAATGAAGATTTTGCATCGAGTCATTTTTGGCAAAATCTGGCCAATGACCCTGTACTATAGTACAGGAACTTTGACCCGATTTTTGAGCAACTTAAAAAATTTGTGAAAAATCTAATTTTGATTGGAATTAGCCAAACTTGCTGCACAACATAAGAACATGTATATGCATCAGAAAAAATTATAAAAATGGAGATGTTTCATCTAGTCATTTTTGGCAAGATTTGGCCAATGACCCTGTACTATATACAGGGACTCTAACCCAATTTTGGAGCAAATTTAAAGGGACACATTCACGGAAGCACATCATCTTGAAAAACTGGCCTGTTTTTCAAGATGACATCATTAATGATGACGCGTAGTGTTGATAACTATTCATAACGTACGGTCGCGTCCCTAAAAATTAAGGCAAAATGGCTACTCGAGTGGCTACTTGTAAATAATCCTGGTGTTTCTTCACTAAAAAGAGTATCTTGGGGTAGCAAAAGAGCTGATTCTGGTCAAGAGAAGTGTTCTACAGATGCCTACTCCTGGTTCTATGCCTGATTGCTCTGTCTCTACTCTCTACACGTGCCTAAACATGTGTTATAACTATTAATTAATGATCTGTTGCACGCCCAATTTAATGTTTACTTCCTCTACAGTAATGTGTGCATTCTATTTAAGTGAACATGTCCCTTTAAAAATTCATAATAAATCCAATTTTAATTGGAATCAGCTCAAACTTTCTACATAACATAACAGCATGTATATGTATAAGAAAAAATTTAAAAAATGAAAAATTTTCTCCTTTTCATTTTTTGCAAAATTTGGCCAATGACTCTGTACTATAGTACAGGGACTTAGGCTCAATTTTGGAGCAGCTTTAAAAATTTATAAAAAAATCCAAAATTGATTGAAATCAGCTCAAACTTTTTACATAACACAAAAACATATATATGTATAATAAAAAAATTATAAAAATAAAAAATTCTTTCCCTGTCATTTTTAAAAACATATTGGCCAATGAACCTGTACTGTACAAGGACTTTGGCCTTATTTTTGAGTAACTTTAAAAATTCATAAAAATCTATTTTTGATTGGAATTAGTTCAAATACATAAATATAGACAGAGGTGGAGGTGAGAGGGAGTGAGAAGACTTACCAGTCCTTTCTGGTGAACACTGAAATCAACAGAATACGTGAACTCATTATGATGGGAGATTGTTTGTATGAGAGGATGCAATGGATTAGCTGTATCCCATAGTCTATTGAAAGACAGAAGAACACTGTAATTATTACATATACATCCTATATGGTGGTTTTTTGGAGAATAGCAAATTTCCTTTATTTTGAGTCTTGACCATATTAAATAAATTAATTTTAGCACTTTTTCTGTTCTAAAACTTTTAAAATACACAATATTTATTATCCTCAATATCAGATTAATACAATATACAATATAATATTAATAACAAAATGTCCTATTAATACAATAAGTGTTCATATACCTGACAGTGAAGTCATAGGAACATGATGCTAGGTAACTCGGAGTGTGTGGATCAAACTTGATTTGTCTAACTGATTGTGAGTGACCAGTCATTATCAATAATGGCACAGTAAACTGTCTTATATCCCACAATCTAATAATAATAAAGAAATAATAATGATAATAATAAAATAATAACGAATAATAAACAGGAGTCCATGATGAGTAGAAGTCTACTTCTACTCACACGGACTTCTGTAATAAATAATAATAGTAAGAAAATAAATTGTTTTAGACATTATGTGTAATCAATACTTACTTTATTGTGTTGTCTGTACCAGCGGAGCATAACAAATTCTAAAACAAAAAAGGCATTCAGTTAAATTATGAACAGTTGTGTATAAAGTTTGATCAAAACTAATAATTCTTTCAAGTACTGTACAATGTATTTGTGTAGTGTATTATAGTGCTAATAAACAATCAATTATTAATTGTTACTTGTTCATATTTATTCCAGCTGCAAGAGAGCACCTCATTCCCTCCATCATTAACAGTACCAGTGTTCAATGACTGAGATACATCCCATAACCTCAATGTACCATCACCTTAAAAATAAAAATAAATAATAAGTAAAAGAACTATACCTGTGATTGTAAATAAAAGTAGCATTAATACAATGTAGTGCAATGAGGTACTGGTGCACACTGTATATAATAGAATACCATATAGCGGGATTTATTGACGAAGGTTTTATTTTGACGAGTTGACAATTTAAAATAAAACGTCAAATTTAATAACCGTCAAAAATTTTGTACTTTGTGCCACGTGTACGCAAAGTGCACTATTTGTCAAATTAAAACTCACCAACCGGGGAAATTTACTGTTTTCGTCAAATTTATTACTCGTCAATAAATCCCGTTATACGGTATAATAAAGACAGGGTGGTTAATGGTGATACATAAAAAATACAAACTGGTGACACGTTGAATAATAAAAGTGAATACAGTTTATTGCTTTTTTGTACCATAAGATTTATCAATCATCAATTACAAATCTAAAGCACAAGCTACTGGTAAAGTAATACAAATGTTACTCATACATGTATATAATGATAGAAATGAAATACTGTACACACTGGGTGTACATAGCAATGACAAGATGATTAACAATAATAATGAGATATCAAATAACAATGGGTGTGTCAGGCCTCAGTATAATAATAGACTAGATCTAGTAGGGTAAATGAATATGTTTTAATATTAGTCAATGAGTAAATTCATTAATCTGTTACCATTGGATACAGTAACTGTAAACAAGACCAAGGGAGTGGCTGGTAGCAATGGCTCAGTTCAGTAAAGAAGAAGTTTTTTTCGTTAAAGAATTGCCCGAGCATGTGGAGATAGAGTGTCCAGTTTGTCTTAATATCTTGACAGATCCTCATATTGTGAGCTGCTGTGGACATAATTTCTGTAGGTCTTGTATTGAGAGAGTAAAAGCTAGTAATGGATCCTGTCCTATGTGTAAGGAGAATGAATATCAAGTTGTGGTTAATAAAGAGCGACTTCGTATTATCAATGGATTGGAGGTCTACTGCAGTAATAAGGAGAAAGGATGTCAATGGAAAGGAGAATTGAAGAATATGTCTACTCATATTAGAAAAGAGATGAGAAAAGGAGACTGTGAATACGAAGAAGTAAAGTGTCGATATACAAATTGCCGCCGAGTGAGAATGCAACGTAGATATCTTAAGGATCATGAAGATAGCAAATGTCCTCAACGTCCATTTCAATGCCCGTACTGTGCAAAAGAAGGCACATTCCTCTCTATTACAATGGATCATTATATCCATCCTGTTACTGATTCTGAATATTTGTCTACTATGCCACAAGGTAGTCTCACTGCTCATGTTAATCATCAGTGTCCATTAGAGCCAGTAGATTGTGTGTTTAGTTGGGCTGGTTGTAATGATAAGCCTTTACGTAAAGATGTACATGTACACACTGCTGATACTAAACACATGACACTATTAGCTGTAGCTTGTGGACAATTGAAGAAAGAAAATGAACAAATAAAAGAAGAAACTACAAAAGAAATTGCAATAATAAAAGAAGAAATAGTGAAACTAAAAAAAGATGGTGAAAAAATAAAAGAAGACATGAAAATAGAAAATGATAAAATAAAGCATGAAATTGTTGATACATGCAATGCCATAGGATCTCCATTGCTACCCATTGATATTAAACTAGGAGAAGCAGTTCATTTTTATACAAGTAGATGTGGTCGGCACATGTCAGCTAGACTTATGAAAGGGAATCATCCCCATTCTTTATTTGTGACTGTTCGTATCTATATATTATTTGCCTTTCTTAAAGGAAAATTTAAACCAAAACTTCCTAAAATATTTTTTAAGTATAAAGGTAAAGATATTCCATTGCCAGTAGACACGGAAGCTACTTATCAAGAATTTTCTGATTATAACATTCTAAATACCATCAGCAACTGTGAGGGTACTTTACCACAAGGAGTATTTAAAATAGAATTAGACCAAATACCTCTAATTACTTTGGACAAAGTAACAGTTACAATTTGTACTCAATAATTTAATAATGAATATTATATTAGTAAATATTATGTATCGTTATAATTACTTTTACATTATTATTATTATTATTATTATTATTATTATTATTATTATTATTATTATTATTATTAAAATGGTGGCAGAAAGATACAAGAAGCAAACAAAAAAAACAGACAAACAAAAAAACACCAACAATAACAAC